AAATTGTGAGGGGCATTTGTCAATAGGACGTCAAGCAGAGATGACTGTCCCGGATTTGTTTAGGTTGGGTCTTGTGGGGACATTTATTAATTGAAACAGGTTAATTTCATCTGCAAAATTTGTGGCCACGGCCGGCGAGTTTAGCCAATTCCAATTTAGATCACCCACTAAAACTATTTCACCTTTAGGGAGGCCCCCAAGAAGCTCACTCGGTGCAGACGCAGCTTCAACATCCTTCCCACTAGTCGGTCTATAGCAGCACACTACCAATATCTGTTGATTATTTGGGAGAGTTATTCTGAGAGCCAGACCTTCAAACCAACATTTTTTAAACAAGGAGTGACCTGGTGAACATGCAATAGTATTACGAACAAATATGGCAATTCCACCTCCTTTAGATCCTCAGTCAAGCCGAAAAAGGTTGCAGTTGCCAATCGTAATATGCAAGTCATTGACGGCAGGAGTGAGAAATGTTTCTCTTAGGCAAAAAATGTCCGGTTCCAGATTTGCCACTTCAAGTGTTGTTTGACTTAATTTAATCACAAGCCCTCTGATGTTGACATGTAGAACACCGACACCTTTTTTGCCAGATAAATCTACAGAATTATACGAGTTCTTTACATTTGGGCCAGGATGAAGCTCAATACCACCCAGAAATAAGAAAAGTAGAATTAATAGTTTGCACAGGTATTTTCTGCGAAAGGATGAAGAGCGGCGAACCTTGGACGAATAGCAGCAGCTTGCAGATGGTGATGTTTTTAAGAGCAGAATGAAGTTTGGAAGGAGTGCTGGTGAAGTAATGGGACAAAGATAGGGTTTAAAATGATACAATGATGGAGTGTAGAAGTGTCTATGAGCTGTTTCATTTGCAGGTGTAGTGGAAAATTGAGCAACAAGTATGGATGCGAAGTTACGCGGGTAGCCGTTTGTAGAGTTGAGTGTGGCACTAGATATGGCCGGGAGGGACAGCAGTAGGATACACAGCAGGAGAATTTCCATCTTTAAAATATCATGGTTACACATAGTTTAACACACAAGCGAAAATAAAAAAAAAATCTATCTACTTGTAGGCCGAGCGCGAGAAATGTCTTGCCGCACTCGTCACACATACACGGCTTCTCGCCCGTGTGCTAGAGTTTTTGGAGGAGCGTGAGGGCGCGAGCTAGGCCGCAACATCGGTGTGGGTGGCGTCTCTCTCTATGCATCGCACCTTCGCCGGCAGGGATATCCTGGCAAGCACGGGGGGCGCGTGAGGGCGCGAGCTAGGCCGCGAGCTGGGCCGCAATCTCCGTGTGGGTGGTGGCGTCTCTCTCCACGCAGTGAACACCGCCACGTGTCAGCCCTGACGGATTGCAGCCGCCGCCGCTGCCTCCACCACGCTGCAGTAGTTGTTGCTGCTGTACTCACGATACCCCACAGTGATCGTGGTGAGGAATGAGGCGGTTGTTTCGAATTTTCAACCAAGCAGCCTCAGTGAACATTAGAACAAAGCACAAGTTTCGTTTGTCGAACACGTAGGCTTTATCCTTCAGCTGTATCCCTTTAAGTTGAGTTTATCCTTCCCCACGCTGCGCCACTGCTTCCAATCGGCGGGGCGGGGGGGGGGTTGAAGGGGGAGGCCTCGGCCCAATCTAGGCAAGGCCTCGCTCCCTCACTTTTCGTTAAGCCACACACACCGCTTAACCGTAAGCCACACACGCCGCATAACAACCTGTTGCATGATGCTGCTGCTTAGGCAGTGGTGCACAAGTAACAAAAACACAAACTCGTTTGGCAATACAGTAAAACCTTGGATTGCGAGCATAATTCGTTCCAGAAACGTGTTTGTAATCCAAAGCACTCGTATATCAAAGCACTCGTATATCAGTTGTGATCACGTGATGCTCGCCAGACAAAGCGTATACGTACTACTCGTATTGCAAGACCTCGCTCGTTTATCAAATTAATATTTATTTAAAAAATTTGCTCATCTTGCAAGACACTCGCAGACCAAGTTACTCGCATTCCAAGGTTTTACTGTATATATAGAGGCGGCGTGTCCGCAAACGGGCTTTCCTCACAGCACAACGCACAGGGCATGACGTCTCGATTAAACCCCCCTGCACCCGCCAATCTCAATTTAAACACCAAACGAATTTTTCCCATAATAAATCAAGGGAAGGGAACTAATTCGTTCTAGAGTATAAGAAATTATATTTTATATTGCATATTATACATTAATGAGGTTGTATAAAATTATTTAGATACTACTTATTACTAAAATGCAAACATAAATTAAAATAAATGCATAAATAAATTAAAATAAATTTAAATAAAATTTAACGTCACTTTAGCTTGCTGAGAGAAGTTGAATTAATTCGCAAAACAATCAGATAAAAATTACAAAAAAACACGTGAAAATTCAGAGTTATAGCAAGGGTTGTGCACTGAACGAGATCTACAGGCAGACTGTGGAGCGGCGCTTTGTTTCAGTCGTGAACGGGGTATACTGTACGCGGGTACGCGGTGACTCATCCCGACCCATACAAGTTCTAGCAAGCGCGTCCTATCTCAAGCAAGACGTCGTATCCCAAGACATTTTTTTCTCGTCAAAACACGTCGTATTCCAAATTCGACGTATTCCAAAGTAGTTGTATACCGAGGTACCACTGTATTAGTAAGTGCACACATTGGGGTGGGGGGAAAGAGGATGTGACATTTTGAAGAATTTACCTCAGCGTTGTGTGTATTTTTTTGCATTTTTTACGTGAAAGATAATTCCCCCCCCCCTCCCAACGAATGCATGTGCATTGTTCGGGGCAACCCCCGGTCAGCTTTGTCGCGCATGCACAAATGCGTGCTGTGGCGTGCGCTGAGCGGTGTAAGGAAATAAATAATAACTAGCACTAAATTCATATTCTTAGCTCTTTCGGTAAAGTCACGTTGAAGGGAAACAATAAAATAAAAAATATATATAAAACAATAAAAATTATCACGACGTTTCGACCATAACACAAACGGTCATCACACATTCACACATTCATTACATGGTGAAGTGAGAAAGCATTAATACTGAGCAGATGAAGGTAGCCAGGCATGGTTCTGGACACAACCACCTTTTTACCATGCCAGTGTGTGACAATGTGAAGTTTGTATTTGCAGTAATGTACAGGGTTTTTCAAAAAGAGGGACCCAATTTCAAATGAATATATTTCATGATGGCAACATGTTACAATTACACAAAAAGTTACAAACGGTTTAATGAGTTATCAAGTTTTACTAACGATAGTTGAATTCGTCCCAAACGCCTCTCAAAGTGTCTTCTTCCACTGAAGTCACCGCTGATGTGATTCTGCTTTTGAGGTTATCCAGATTAGTCGCTCATGGTGGCACAAAAACACGGTCTTTGACGTATTCTCACAAGAAAAAGTCGCAGGGTGTGATGTCTGGGGATCTTGGGGGCCAAGAGTGTCACGCCAAGTCTTGGGGTCCCGTGTGACCTATCCAACGTTGAGGCAGTGTGTTATTCATAAAACGTCGAACCTGCAGGTGCCAATGTGGCGGTGCTCCGTCTTGCTGATGCATGAAGTCATCGGAATATTCATCAAATTGTGGAAAGAGCTATTTCTGCAGCATTTCGAGATACGCTTGCCCCGTAATTGTGTTTCCCTCAAAAAAGAAATGGCCATACACCTTTCTTTGAGAAACAGCACAAAACACGTTCATTTTCGTGGAATTACGCTCATGCTCTACAGTTTCGTGTGGATTTTCTAATCACCATATATACACATTGTGACGGTTAACTTTACCGCTGAGATGAAACGTTGCTTCACTAAAAATCAAACGCGGTAAGAAGCTGTCGTCCTCCATGTTCTGTAACATCGCATCACAAAATTCTACACACTTTCCTTTGTCACCTGCACAAAGAGCCTGTACCATTTGCAACCGGTATGGCCTCATGATTAAGCGTTGCCTTAACACACGCCAGACAGTCGTATGACAAGTCGCAAGTTCTCGGCTGGCACGACGAGTGGACTTGTGCGGGCTACGCAGAAAACTCTCTTGAATTCTTCTCATGGTTTCCCCTGAGGTGCGTGGTCGCCCTGTGTTCTCCCCCTTACATTAACAGCCTGTTTCCTCAAATTGTCGGTACCAACAATGAATCCTCTTTGACAATGGCGGATCAATGCTAAAACGCCGTTGAAACGCACACTGCACCGCAATTACAGATTCAGTCTGCTGAACTGCAGAACGCAAAACGCCTTGTGTTGCGGGGTCGCCATCTTGCGAATGACTGAGGCTAGGGGCTGTTTGTGCACTGGGAGAGGCATCTAGCGGTAAGCATTTGAAACTCTATGCCCCGTAACTCTCTATGCCCCGCCCTTTCAAGTGGTAAGAGTTTCATTCATGGGCGGTTTGTGGTTACAGAGATATAGTGATTTTAATTCGGTCAATCTTTTTGAAAGACCTTGTACATTAACTATTGAACAGGGAGGTTAAATCAAAACAATAGTTTATTTTAGTTTTCCTCTGGGACTTTATGTAAGAATGGAAACAGGTAAATATCTCAGCACATATACAACTGAAGTTAGATCTATTCATCCGAGCATTCAAGCAAATCTGAGTCTGGTGTCACACCTCGAAGTTTCGATTGAACATTAATTTATGCATATCTGCATAATACAAATAGTATTATTTTCAACACCCTTTGCTATGTTAGCTGAATTTTTCTTAAATAAATATAAATATTCCTTTCGTAGCTAGACAGCTGAAATTCTGTGCTTGGAGTTTTGGGTAAACATTCATTTTGACGATACTAGGGCATCCAGGCATATTTATGACCATTGGCCCACTCATTGTGTGCCTTAACAGCCCGTGTGATGAATTGGGGAATCTCTTTCACTATATCATGAATATATGAATACGTTTTGACGTGTAAATCATGTGTGACTGTGTATATATGCATTCCTCTTTGCCTTGATACTGACGTAGATGATGTGGATATGTTTTTCTGATTGCAGCTGACACTTCCTCTGCAGAATTGGTCTGATGGAGCAAATGCACTCAGCGCAGCTCGGTACAAGAAGGAAACGATGTGACCAGGATGCAAACAGCACGGATCGTGCTGGAAGTTTGACACAGCACCAGAGAACTCACACAGGAGAGAACCCCTTCAAGTGCACTGTGTGTGCGAAGGCATTTGCATGGTCATCAGTTCTTCAGAGCCACCAGAGAACACACACAGGAGAGAAACCCTTCAAGTGCAGTGTGTGTGATAAGGCATTTGCAAAGTCATCAGTTCTTCAGAGACACCAGAGAACACACACAGGCGAGAAACCCTTCAAGTGCACTTTGTGTGAGAAGGCATTTACAGAGTCATCACATCTTAAAAAACACCAGACAATACACACAGGAGAGAAACCCTTCAAGTGCAGTGTGTGTGGGAAGGCATTTTCAAGTTCATCTGATCTTAAAAGACACCAGACACCACACACAGGAGAGAAATCCTTCAAGTGCACTGTGTGCGGGAAGGCGTTTACACGGTCATCACATCTTAAACAACACCAGAGAACTCACACAGGAGAAAAACCCTTCAAGTGCACTCTGTGTGAGAAGGCATTTGCAAAGTTATCAAATCTTCAGAGCCACCAGAGAACACACACAGGAGAAAAACCTTTCAAGTGCACTGTATGTGGGAGCGCATTTACACGGTCAACAAGTCTTCACGACCACGAGAGAACACACACAGAAGAGAAACCTTTCAAGTGCAATTTGTGTGGGAAGGTATTTTCAGGTTCATCTCCTCTTAAACGACACGAGAGAACACACAGGGGAGAGAAACCCTTCAGGTGCCTTTTGTGCGATAAAGCATTTATAAAGTCATCAGATCTTCAAAAACATCAAAGAACACACACAGGAGAGAAACCCTTCAAGTGCAGTGTGTGTGAGAAGGCATTTGCACAGTCATCAGTTCTTCAGAGCCACCAGAGAACACACACAGGAGAGAAACCCTTCAAGTGCAGTGTGTGTGAGAAGACATTTACACAGTCATCAAATCTTCAGAGCCACCTGAAAATACACACGGGAGCTAAACCCTTCAAGTGCACTCTGTGCGGGAAGGCGTTTGCACTGTCATCACGTCTTCAAAGACACCAGAGAACACACACAGGAGAGAAACTATTCAAGTGCAGTTTGTGTGGGAAGGCATTTTCAAGTTCATTTTATCTCAAAATGCACCAGAGAACACACACGGGAGAGAAACCCTTCAAGTGCAGTTTGTGTGAGAAGGCATTTGCAAAGTCATCGGTTCTTCAAAGACACCAGAGGACACACACAGGAGTGAAACCCTTCAAGTGCACTATGTGTGAGAAGGCATTTACAGAGTCATCACATCTTAAAAAACACCAGAGAATGCACACAGGAGAGAAACCCTTCAAGTGCAGTGTGTGTGGGAAGGCATTTTCAAGTTCATCTGATCTTAAAAGACACCAGACACCACACACAGGAGATAAACCCTTCAAGTGCACTCTGTGCGGGAAGGTGTTTGCACAGTCACCACAGCTTCATAGACACCAGAGGACACACAGGCATCAGAAGATCCCCAAGGAGTGTAGTCTGAAATCGACTTGTGAAAGTCAAAGTGCTGCAATGAGCCTATCCCTCCTGATAAAAGAACCAGAAGTAAATTCCAGCTTGGACACTATGAAATGTATCAAGGTGAAATTTGAAGAGGTGACAGTGAAGAACGAAGATGTGATGGTAAAATGTGAAGATGAAGATTCAACTCCAAGGTCGGACCTTCACATCGATGGAGGCAACGTAAAGCAGGAGGATAATTCTGACTATGAGGCAAAGCGAGGCAACTCCCAGGAGTTTGTGGAAGTGGAGGTGTGGCTGGACTTCTTAGACAATACAAAGTCAAATGGAGACCCTGTAGATGTGTAAGCTTGAGATAATGAAGCTTCAATAGATTTACCTTTGTCACAGGCCTTTAATGAAAGACTGTGAAGTTGAACCCTCAATTCCTGGGTTTAACCTGCATAGTAAGAGCATCCAGTATTTGTTAACCTGTGGGTTGGGTAGATGTCTACCTAGCAGCAAGAGCCAATAAGCTCCCAATCCTTCACTATGTTATAATAATATTAGCATTTATATGGTGCTTATTTTATCGCCTCAGCAACTTGGAGTTTTATATAATATATAATCACAAACACTCGAAGAGCACCCCCAAGTGGCAGCTGGCCATGTGTGGCATAAGGTGGTCCTGCACCAGCCTGCATGTGGGCATGAGTCTGTCACTAGGGGGCGATAATTTGTGTAATCTATATGTAATTTCTGGATAATATTTGGAATTACCCACATTTTGACAATGACACCAACATGCAATGACCTATGCGGTTTGAATGACACAATAGTATGTTTTACATCCACTGTTGAGCAGATGGTGCATATTTTGGTTAATATTACTGGAGTTGTCAGGCATGCCTATCGGATTGGAACCTTCAACCTCTGCAATAAATAGAGAATGCGCTACCACTTGGCTTCCCTCAATCTGAGTGTAGGCATGCCAGCCTGAATGTTTCTAACTCACGCAGATGTTCCATTTAGAGGGGTCCACGTCTCGCATTCCTTTTGAAAGGAGGGCATGACTGTGGCCGAGAAGAACCGAAGCTTCATGCGGAGCGACAGACCAGGTAGCTTCCACACAGCTGTGCGCAGCTGATGAAAAGATAATGCCACCTGACTGATTCGGACCACCCAGAGTGTCCACACATACTCAGTGTAGACGTATTGTGTACACACTGTGTACACACAATCTACACACTGTGTACACACACACAGTGTACCCACAGTCTGCACATACACAGTGTATACACACAGTAACAAGAACAACAAACGCCATTCGCCACTAAGTGGTGGTGATGTCACCACGGCGCTTGTGCCAGGCTACGTGCACGTTAAGGCCACGTGAAGTGTTGAACGCCCGCCGGCATGAGGCCACGGGGCAGACCCAGCAGGTGCCATGGGTCGACTGACTGAGATGACTGCCCAATGCACCACCTGTGCCCCCTACTGTGCAAACATTACACGCACGCACCATGTGTACACGCACGCACCATGTGTATACGCGCATTGTTAACGTTGAGCTCACGCATCCAAGGGGCCAATGTTCAAGAGAGGGAGCAATGGAAAAGGAATCTAAATAAACTCAAACCCCCGATCTTTACGTCACAACTCCGCAATATCTCATCGGTGTGCGGCGCCTGAGGGAGGTGTCCTCGCTAGTGACGTCATGTCACCAAGGTATTCATCCCCCAACGCCCCCTCCACCGCGCGTTTGAGCGTAACGTCACGTCTGGTTGGTCACGGCCGATTTCTGTTCCAGTAAAAATCCTTATTTGGGCAAGGCTACGCCTAGTCACTGGCCGTTCATTAACATAATTTATTCATAAATACCGTCGCGAGTTCATTGCGACGGGTTCAGCATCCACGCCCCATCATTGTACATGGGCACGTGTCATTGTACAATGATGGGGCGTACATGGGCACGTGTCATTAACATAATTTATTCAGTTCGCCGCTCGTTGGGGGAGGGGATTGTGTGAACCCCGCAAGTGACGTCATGTCACCGTCTGCTGCCGCGTGACGTCACGAGATACCAGGAAGCTGCACCGAGCGCGCTCTCTCAGATCCGAGGTGAGAAGTTCACATCGTGGTTGTTGTTGTCGTGGTTGTTGTTGTTGTCGTGGTGGTGGTTGTTGTTGTTGTTTACCCAGGTAGAGCCTCGCCCTTTCTCTTGTAGCAGCGAGTACGGAATCGATGTCCAGGTTGGAACATTACAACGCGGGGCCTTGCCTCCTGCCCTCGCCTGATTGCATTTGCTTTAATTCTCTGCGTAATCTTCTTTGGTTCTTTCGGTAAAGTCACGTAGAATGAGAATAAAATAATAAATTGACAAAATAATAAATTGACAGTCTCCAGCGCTGTCCTCCAGACAGTCTCGTCCCCTTCACCTGATGAAGGCCGCTTGTGTTGTAGCCGAAACGTCGTGAGAATATTATTGTGTTATTTTATTTTATCAATTTATTATTTTATTCTCATTCTACGTGACTTTACCGAAAGAACCAAAGAAGATGAATCCTTGCAGTCACGAAAGCTTTCAATCGAAATTCTCTGCGTAAGTTTAATTTGTCTTCACCTGGCTCACTACTTTGAAACTTTGTTTCCTTTAAATATTTCTACAGCTTTATTTAATTTTACCAGAAGCGACCTGCCCACAACAAAGTGGCTTAACAACGTGTGGAAATGTCTGTCGGTCAAATACTCTAAACGCGTGGTGATGTTGACTCTAAATGTGGAGGGAAAACCGGAGGACCCAGAAGAAAATCCACGCGACCACGGGGAGAGAGACACGCAAATTCCAAATATACATCCGTAATACAGGTTTGTTTGGTTTAGATCGCGTAAATATATAAATGTGTCGTTAAACCCGACACAGCCAACTAATAGGGGTTGTCACATGAACAGAACGTGGTCAATTCGTCACTAGTACAGCACTAGTGTATAGTGTAGTGTATAGTGTAGTATATAGTGTAGTGTATACGAGTACAGCACACCGGTTTTGTGTTGGAGAGCCAAGCCACAACATTTACAATCTGGAGTACGACGTTTCGCCAGTAATTACAAACCAGCTTCATCAGGCGACAGCCAAATGTTGTGCCCTGACTCTGGGAATATAAATCGGCTCGCTGGGATTATAGCTCAGCATGCTAACCGTTGCACTACCGCTCTCCACTCATGCGCAAACATCGAAATGATAGTATTTATTCAATACTAGCTAAGTTACCTGGCTTTGCATATTTCTCAGTAATCAAACGTCAAGAGTAATGTCTAAGCAATCCTGACTTTATTAGAATTATTGAATCCTGCCAATGAAGTCTGTAAATGTGTGTATATTGTCACGGTTTTTTGGTTGTGTTATCAATCGCAGGGCTTGTTTGTTTCAATGAGGACAGCTTTTAAATTCGTTGCCCTTGGAGAGCTTCAGGATAGACAATGTTGGATGTTTTGCCATCTGGTGGGTTTAATCGAATGAAGCTTCAATTTTGGCATACATGTCGACAGCAAATTGGGGGAAGAGCTCTTTGGATCTCAAGAAGAGATTGAAGCTGCCGTTTCGCACTATGATCCTAAAGGCAAAGAAGTCCATGGCGGAAATCTTCTTTTGTGTTGACAAGCCTGTTGCTTGGTCAGTTTGGCGAAGTTGGAAATTGTAGCCAGCATCATCTTGCCAGAAAATCAGTAGACATTGAAGAGCATCAAAGGATCGGTGTTTCATTTCTGTGTAGGATATTGTTCCTCAGTTGCAAGACAATGCCTCGAGTGACGTTCAGCAGTCAGAATGACAGCGACTTCAGATGTTGTGAGTGCATTTAAGTGGCACTCATGTTGACCATGTGGAGTTTAGTCGGCATGAATGACAACATTGTACTCTGAAGTCATCTTCTCCATGGCAAACTTGAAACTGAACATAAGAGTTTTCCTTTTCGAGCATGTTTTGCCACAGCAATAGGACTTGCATCTTGGTGTTGATGACATTTTAGCGATGCTGGTGAGCCTGTCGAGAACAGTCAGACATGCAAGTAGATCTGTGGTAATGTAGGGAGGTCATTAGGTAGTGGCAGCAGACTGCGGATGCGATTATGTACCTGGCCCTGCATTTTAAATGTGGGCATGTAGCCAGATGTTGGGATGAGTTGGTTGGTGCCAAAACATGTAATTTGGAAGCATGAGTTATATCTTGTATTGTTGCTTTGGAATTGGCTTGCATAGGTACTATTGGCAGGTATCAATACATGAATAGGCTCGATGGTCATTAATTGTAGGGAGTTGAACCATGGTACAGTTACAGCAGAGACCTGGAGGGTCTCCTTTCCATGTCATTGCATGGCACTAGCGGCAAGAAGTAGACATGGAACCAATGGCAACTACTGAATCAGAAGTGTAAATGAAATGAGGAATGTTTGGAAAACACTTTTCCTTTTGGCAGCAGGGTAGGCACCTGGTTGCAGCCAATGTAGTGCTGTTTACAAGATGCCTTGCTTGTTGGTGGACTGGAATTGTATTAGCTGTGGCAGCAGCCATTTGTGCTTTGTTGGTTTTCTGTGTAACTCAATACTGTTGAGTTGCATTCGCTGTCGGTGCAGGCATAGCAGCACTGGCAGCATGCTGTTTTGCTTCTTGGTGTTCAGGAGTGTCATATTATCAATAGGTGCAGCCATCGCAGCCATGGCAACATGCTCTTGCTTCTTAGTGTTCAGGAGATTCATTAGCTGTAGGTGCAGCACAGGCAGCATGCTGTCTAACTTTGTGTTGAGGAGTTTCATTGCAGCACTTGTGCGAATGGCATAAATTATTGTAATCAGCTTTGGTGAAGAGAAGCGCACGTTTTCCGCGAGGAACATTATAGTTGGAGGTCAAAGTTAATAAGCATTAAAAAGAGTAAATAGTGAGTGTGTGAGTGAATGCTATTTATAGATTAAGGAAATGATAATTGAATATGTAATCGTTGTCGGAATGTGAAGACATAGCCGGAAAGGAACAAAGTAATTGTTTGTAGTGCTTGATGTGGGTATTAATAGTATGTGTGTGGTGGTGTGTGTACATATATAATTATTTTAATGCTAGTGCGTGTATTTGCATGCTTTTTATTCCTTACCAGGCGATGTAGACTTGATGTATTTAATCGTAGCTGTTGTATAGTATCTATGTTGTGTAGAAGGAGGTTGGTGGTGTTGGTACGTAGATGTAAATATTTTAGAATAGTACGTGTATTTTAAATAAATATTGCAGTTTGTGTTAGAGGTGAGCCGTGCACGTGCAGAGAGAATAGTAAGGAGCCAGAAGTGGATGAATTTGGCGGCAAAAACGCAGGGCTGATAATAGGGAAGGATAACGTGGTAAATATGAGAACAAATATAGCAGTGCAGTGGAGACACTTATGTTATGGTGAGTGTGTGGAATTGTAGTTTCTGAAATGTCATAATGTGTTTGCATGCGTGGTAAACCGGAAGTTGTGAGAATGCCCCAAGCTTTAACACATGGCAAGAGAAAGAGAGGGGTGAGGAGCGGGGGGGGGTGTGCAGGTGGTACAGGTGTTGAAGGTGAGCAGGTCAGCTAAAAATAGTGCGAAAAACGCCAACTCACCCGTGAGTACACATGGAAGTTTGGGGTGTGTTGGCGCAATTTGGTTCACAAAAACATCTACACAAGGGCAAAGTCTGCTTTATCCTTATAGATTTATACTATTTTTTTGTCTTGGAATACTTTTTTGTGTACGGTTTCTCCTTGTTTATTTAAATTGTTTAGTTTATTTGGCATACAGTAGAGTACTTATTTCAATTTTAGTTTGCGTTTACCTAACGCCATTCAATTTTGATTTAAAGCTTTCGTGATTGCATGGATTCATCTTCTTGGTTCTTTCGGTAAAGCCATGTAGAAGGGAAATAATAAAATAATAAAAATAAAACAAAATAAAATTATCACGACGTTTCGGCCACAACACATCAGCCGTCTTCAGGTGAAGAAACAGAACTGTCGGGAAGACAGTGTTCCAATGAACACTGCTAAGCTTGGCAGCGTCTTTTAAGCTGGGTGGGAGGAGCAGAGCGCCTTGACAAAGGAGTTTACATATCAACAGAAGAATTTAGCATTGAAGTAGCTAAGTTAATGTGATAGATTAGCAGGATGTTAAAGTCAGAAATTAGCATGTAACTGGGAAATTATATTAAACATTACACCGAAAGGTACTAAGAGATTAGCAGGATGTTAAAGTCAGAAATTAGCATGTAACTGGGAGATTAGCATGATGTTAATGCGAGGATTTAGCATGTAACTGGTCACGGAAGTGGCTATGTTAAAGTCAGAATTTACATATGAATCATTTGGCGGGACCCCGGGGTCCCGCAAAAATCAGGTGAATTATTATTTTTCAGTCCGACCACTCGTGATCCCGACAGCAACGCGCCGCCCGGTCATGTGATTGACTTATTCCGCCTCATCTCTTCTGGATGACCCTCGGTTTAATACTTCATAATTATTATTTGGTTTATGTTTCCCAAGATTCGTGATTTAGCATTGTTATTACCATGTATGTTCCTAGGGTTTTATTAACTTTCGATCCCCCGTCCGTATCCAGGGATCCGTGCTGTTATAATCGTTATATTTTGATGTCCTGAGGTTGGAGGTATAACTAAATTTCAGTTAAGCTTCTTGACTGCTGGAATTCATATTCCTTGTTTTTTTGGTAAAGTCACGTAGATAGCAAGATATAATATAATTTAAGCTGAATAACATTGGTGTTAAAATAATATATGAGAAGTAATAACCCACTAATATAGATTGTAGCCTGGTTTTTAATCGGAGTGAGTGTGTTGGCAGTCTATAATGTCCACTTATTTGTGTCGCTAAGTTTTTGGACTTTTCCGTTAAACTAAAATAACCCAAAAAAAACTTGTCTGTCCGGTTTTCGTCGCCCGGGAAGCTGATGAGCCTGTTGTTTTATACGGGCTTTGAAGCCGTGTAGGGATTTTCCCAGAATCTCATTAGCAATTCCCCCCCTTCTCTTTTGTTTTGGGTTTTTATTATCTTTTGTGGCTTATTTCCGGCTGCCTGTTTCCGAGTGAGAAGGACAGCTGCTGATTGATTATTTTAAAAAAAATATTGGGAGAATTATTCTTAATCTCAGTTTTGGAAAAAAGCCTATATATACAACATATCGCTCGCACGAGCGTCGTCCATTTTGAGAAATGTTCAAAATGGTGTGGTCTTCTTGGTGGCACATTTGTGACCAAAGTTCTCACTTGAGGAGGAATCTCCTTGTCTTACTCGGGCTCGACGAGTCCAAAAGTCTCTTTGGTAGTACATGGGCCACCGTCGCGTCATAAGAGGAACACTGGACCTGTCAGCCAGATGGTTTGTTTCAGCAGAGATGCAGGGACGGACCTAGTTGCGAGATCTGGATTCTGTTCAGTTGGTACTTAATTCCATTCCTCCAGCTGCGTCGATCTCCTGATGTGTTCCACCCTGTTGCTGATGTAGGTGTAGAACCTTCTGGTTTGGTTGTTTATGTAGCCTAGTACGACCTTGCTGTCCGTGTAGAACTTGACTGCATCCAGTTTAATGTCCAATTCGTCTGAGATCAGTTCTGCCACTTTTGTAGCTAGAACGGCTCAACACAGCCCAAGCCTTGGGATGGTATCTTCTAGTTGTCGGGCCAATTTGGCCTTGCCTAAGATGAACCCAACGTGCTGGGTCCCTTCTGTGCTTGTGGTTTTTAGGTAAGCTACGGCTGCTATGATCACCATAGAAGCATCTGCAAACACATGTAACTCCTTATGTTGGATTATGGAAAGGGATGTGGGCATGTAGGAACGCGGAATCTGTAAGGAATTTCTCCAAGCTTCCAATTCTTGTTGCCTTTCCTTAGGCAACGGGCTATCCCAGTCTTGTATTTCAGCACAAAGATCCCTGAGTATCCAACGGCCTTGAATGGTGACCTACGCTAAAAATCCTAGTAGATCGTACAGGCTGTTTGCCATCGACAAGATGCCACTTCGAGTGTAAGGCTTCTCTCCAATTGATGCTCGGAATGTAAATGTGTCCGCTTTCAGGTCACAGCTCAGTCCAAGGTTGCGTTGGATTGGTGGTGTGTCGACAGTAAGGTCCAAGTCTTTCAATTCCTTTGAACGATCGTCTGAAGGAAACACTTTAATGACTTCTGCGTTGCTGGACGCTATCTTGTGAAGTCTCAGGTTAGCAGTAGCTAACATTCCTTGCGTCCTATGGAACAGATTGATGGCTTCTGAGGCCGTGGGCATTGATTTGAGTGCATTGTCAACGTAGAAATCTCACTCTACAAATCGCTTGGCATCTTCCCCAAATTCTTGTTCTCCTGCTTGCGCGGTCCTCCTAAGTCTATAGGTGGCTTCCGCTGGTGATGGGCTGTTGCCGAAGACATGCACCTTCATTCTGTATTCAACAATTCGATCATCAACGTTATTGCGGTACCACACAAATCTGATAATTTTTGTTGTCATAGACAATAAAGCAGTGGAACATTTGTTGAATGTTGGCTGTTACAGCGATTGACTCCTTTCTGAAATGGATGAGTAATCCTAGGAGACTGTTGGTCAAGTCCGGTCCGGTGAGCATTACGTTGTTCAAGGAAATGCCCTTAAATTTAGCGCTGGAATCGAACACCACTATTCTGATCTGATCTGGCTTCTTCGGGTGATAAATACCAAACATTGGTAAGTACCAGCATTCCTCTCCTTCTAGAGGAGAGGCTGCTTCAGTGTGACCACTGTCAAATATCTTTTTCATGAAGGATACAAAATTAGTTTTCATCTCTGGTTTCTTCTCCAAGGTACGGCGCAATGAGTTGAGCCGTGAGAGGGCTTGCTCTCTATTTTTGGGTAACCAGCATCTGGGATTGTGAAATGTCAGAGGGGCAACCCAGCTGTTTGACTCATCTTGGAAGAATTCTCTGTCCATTATTTTCAAGAATTATTTATCCTCTAGGGATGAAGCAGGTTTGTCGTTGTCCTTCATTGTCATGAACACCGTATGTCCAGCATCATCTTCTTGTTTCCAGCATGGAGGTGTCTTTGTAAGTCTGCATGGTACAACCTTGACTTATCTCTTCCTATTTCTCTTTCATCGTGAAGTGGTTGGGGCACGGCTTGAAGAGCGACGTGCATTCATTAGTGAGCAGACTTGTTCTGAATGTGCTAATGCCGTCTGGTTTGTGTGTTCTATTGAGACAGACATCACCTACGATGACCCATCCTAGGTCAAGTCTCTGGGCATAGGGAGCGTAGTGAGGTTCATTGCGTTGATCGCAAACCTTGTGGACCCTCAGCATGTCCCTGCCAAGCAGAAGTAAAATCTGTGCCCCGTGATTTAATGGCTGGATGAACTCTGCTATGGGCTTCAGATGTGGGTGGTGACGTGCAACTTCGGGCGTGGGAATCTCGCTCTTGTCATCCGGTATCTCATTGCACTCTGTCACCGTGGGAAGGGCTAGCTTCATGGTGCTATCCATGGTTTCCACTGAGGCCGCTCGCTCTTCTCCCCGCTGTCTCCATCAGTCCTGAGCATGTTCTGAGCGTGTATAGAAAAGAATTCCCACCTACGCTTAGCTGATCAAAGAACTCTGACCTTGCCAAAGACTTGTTGCTCTGATCGTCCATTATGGCGTACATCCTTACTGCCCTTTCAGGATGTCCTTTGGGATACACTCGGACGAGGCATATCTTTGAGCAAGATTTTCCTTTGAAGTCTTCACAGATGTCTGTGCATTTGGTTGTAACTGGACCGGCTCTGGCTCCTGAGGACTGTCCACCTCACCATGAGGGATGGACAGTCCTCTACTCGGGGCAGGAGACTGTCAAACAACAGGGTGTGGCTCTTCTGAATAAAAGGATGAATAGGGCGTGGGAGCGTGGTGGTGAGGTGTGGGAAGCTGTAAGCCCCAGGCTACTCTGGGCTCGCCTTCCAATCAACCAGAGGTGAGGAGTGGTGGTAGTGGTTACTTATGCCCCCACCGAAGACGAACATGCGTGGAGGGATGCAGGCAAGGCTGATGAGTCACATTCCTTCTAAGACCTCCTATCACAGGTGCTAGCTAAAGTGGCCCCTCGGGATAGAGTCATCTTGTTGGGTGACTTCAATGCCCGAGTTGGTCATGATGCTGGCACCTTGTCTGGAATAATTGGAAGGTATGGGCCAGATCAGCTCAATAACAACAGCAGGAGGCTGCTAGATTTTTGTGCAGCCCATGGGCTTGTAATTACCAACACGCTGTTCTGGCATCAGCGCATCCACACTACATCATGGATGCATGCCGGGTCCAAGCAAGAACATCTGCTGGATTACATAGTGACGGAACAGAGGATGCGGGCCCATGTCCTTGACGCCAGGACCTACCGTGGAGCTGATCTTCCCACTGACCATCGACTTGTCATCTGTAAGATGCGCCTGTAATTCTTCCACTCCGGTGGTGGGTGTACACCCAGGACCCCATTCAAAGCTATAGTGGCCTGGTCTCAGCTAGCTGATGAAAGTTGTAAGTGAGAATTTCATCATCACTTGCGGCTGGGGTTCGCATTGTCCCCCACTCCTCCTGATGTCGAGGGGAAATGGGCAATGTTTAGGACTGTGGCTCATGCAGCTGCAATGGCTGCTTTGGGTACACGGTCCAGACCTCCCCAGAGACCCCGGCTGACAGGAGGTGTCCAAGCTGGCTGAGAAAAAGCGACAGGCTCACTCTCATCGGCTACAGCATCCCACGTCTGAGAATGAGGAGGCTTACCGCAGCCTTCACTCGGAGGTCCGGAGAGCCGTAAGGCGCTGCAAGGATGGGTGGTGGTCGCGGGTTGCTGACGAGATGGAGTCTGCCTCAATAGCTCGCGATCACAAATCACTACTTAACTCCATCAAAAAAGTAACCTCCAGCGCCACACCTATTACCATCATTTGGGGAAAAAACGGTGATCCACTCTCCGACCCCCAGGAACAGGTTTGCAGATTTGTTGAGCATTTCTGTGAGGTCCTGGGGGAGGGGAAATCCCTCACCCAGGAAAACAACATGGGACAAAGTGGGGATGACCCTGCCGAGGCTACGGTGCCTCAAATATTGGAGGAAGAAGTCAACCCCTGTGAGTGGCTGGCTGAGGTGCCATCTGTTGAGGAAGTACTGAAGGCGATCCGGAGTCTGAGACCAGGAAAGGCACTGGGCAGAGAAGATCTCCCAAGCGAAATGCTGAGGGACGGTGGTGTATGTGCACAGTCTGCCCTACATGACATCATAACAACAATCTGGACCACTGGATGGGTTCCGCAGGATTGGATGGATGCCTTGGTGGTCCCACTCTTTAAGAAGGGGGAACGCACAGACTGTAACAACTACAGGGGCATCTCACTCCTCAGTGTGCCGGGAAAGGTCCTGGCAAGGATTACTCAACATCACCTTGCTAGGCAAGGTAGAGGCTTGCGGAGCCCCAATGCGGTTTCAGGAAAGGGTGGTCCTGCACAGATGCCATTTTTTTATGTCCGTCTGCTAGAACAGAGGTATAAGGAATTCCAACAAGACCTACATCTGTGCTTCATTGACCTGGTCAAGGCCGATGATACCATCAGTAGGCCTGGGCTCTGGGTTGTTCTTCGTGCTTTCGGAGTCCCTGACCCTCTGCTTACCCTTATTAAGGACCTTCATGATGGTGAGCAGGCCCGGGTAAAACTACGTAGCCGAGAGTCAGAGCCATTCCCTGTACACCTTGGGGTGCGACAGGGATGTCCTCTGGCTCCAACATTATTTTACATCTATTTTGACCATGTAGTTCATGAAGCCTTCAGTAGCTGTACCGGAGGAATTTCCATCTGGTACAGATACAATGGGAGGCTAATCGATGCCCGGGTGCGGTCAAGGGATGGCTCCCTATTGGTCAACCACGTTATGTATGCCGAGGCCCTGGTAATTGCGGCTCACTCAGAAGAGGAGTTGGAGGTGCTGCTGCTAAAACTGTAGTGTGCCACTAAGAGGTGGGGTCTTACCATCAGCCCCACCAAAACGAAGCACCTGCCTGGGTATCAACTTTGCCTTTTAGAAACATTTAGGCTGGCCTGCCTATGATCCATTCTGGGTTTAACTTGGCTGGATTGTGTGAGGAGCTCACTAATCCTTGAAAGATGGGGACAAAGTCCCATCGGTGAGCTCCTACGGCAAGCAAGGCTGCGTTGGCTGGGCCATGTAACCCGCATGCCCAGCCACTGCATGCCTAAACAGCTTTTGTGTGGTAGGATTGAGGGGGCTAAACAGGCGCGGCACGGGCTAGAGAAAAGATGGATTGATGTGGTACAGGAGGATGTGGAGCTGACTGGACTTGCAGATAACTAGTACCAGTGGTGTCAAGATCGGCCTCTGTGGAGGAGGCTCGTGAAGGACGCTACTGGGCAGTTGGAGGCAGTCACTCTCCAACAACAACGGAGGGCAGAGGAGCGACGCTCACAACAGCGAGCGGAGCGCCAGGTAGCTAAAGCACAGCAAGTTTGCACAGTGGGGGGCACAGGTGGTGCATCAGCCAGTCATCTCAGTTAGTCGACCCATTGCACCTGGGCCTGCCCTGTGACCTCCTGCCAGCGGGCGTTCGACACTTCACGTGGCCTCAAGGTGCACATAGCCTGGCACAAGCATCGTGGTGATGTCACCGCCACTTAGTGGCGAATGGCGGTTGTTGTTGTTGACTGACAAAGTGGATGCGGCGGTCTCACCTTGCTCCCCACCGTGCTCTGCTTCGGGATCAGAAGCTTTAGTGCCACTAGGTTTGGAGTAAAATGTGTGCAGAGCAGTTGCGTGTTTGTCGCTTCCACTTTGCTCGCACTTGATATCTGCCTTGCAATTCCTCGCGAGGTGGTTTGTAGAAGCACAGCATTTGAAGCACACTCCAAACTCTTTCAGCATATTCTTCCGCTCGTCCAATGGCTTCCTCCTGAACTCGCGGCATTTCTGGAGGGAGTGAGGTTCATCATGCAATGGGCATTGCCTTTCTGGATCTTCCATCTTCTTCTTTCTGATGGTTACATGGACGGAGTTTGCGAATGTTGTAGGAGAGACCTCAGTCTTATGTACAGAGATTGGCACTCTCGCTGTTCCTTGT